GGTGAGGGCATGCAAAATATCATCACCTTTATCAAACTTCGTTTTCACTTCAATGTGACTTGACTTGATCTTCATTTATCTTCTCGTATACCACCGCGTCTACTTGACCTATAACATTTACTCACGCACGCTTGAGAACTCTAGGGAAGTCGGGGACTGTACCACTAAGGAAGGAAGGAGGGGTTGAGTTGGGTAAGTAAGTAATGCTAAAAGCAATCACCTTATACCATTCTGGCGAAACCTACCTAGTCATATTCAAATGGGTTGCTCTCAGAAATATGTTGACCGTAGGTAGGGTAGTTAGAAGTGTTCTGTCTTGCAGATTCCACAAGGTTCCAGGTTTCTATCTTGTAAAGAGTAAGTAAGTATTTCTGTCTCTCACCGAGCATCATGAGGCGGGATAGGGTTCCTGTAGTCTGCCCAAGCTGCTCGCTCCTTCTCACAATTAATCTCTTCTTTCCGTCATAGTGGGTGTTTTGTTGCTCACTCAGGTAAGGTAGTGACCCCAGCGAGGTTCAGGTTCCTTTTGTGGTTCGTAGTTCTAGTTGGAGGAACTTGAAGATCTAAAGTGGACTCGGACTCGGAGGTCCATACCTCGTCTTTGAGTTCCGAGAGCTTGAATCGGACCCGGACTCGGAAATCCATGTCCCGTCTTTGAGTCCCGAGAGCCTGAGTCGGACTCGATGAGTGGATGGGTGGGTATGAGGCGGGAAGGAAGGAACCGGTTGAAGTAAGTGCGGTAACAGGGAGTGCAGCAAAGGGCGGTCTTGCTCTTCGTGTGCCCGTGGGTTGTTTCCAACAGTGCCTGCTGTTCTTTTATTCACAAATCGCCAATCGAGAGTAGGTACCTCTTCTTTCCACTCGCCCTTCCCGCTTGATTTCTTCGGATCCATGCTTCGATTTGCCATTCTCTGGTCAGATACAATTCCCGCACTCTCCCTACAACATATCAGCATAGTCTCTTCGAGCTCTGTGTCGTGAAAGAAAAGAGAATCCGGATTGGATTCTGGACAACTCACCCACCTACCCCAGCCGTGGTTTCTTGCTGCTGCCTGCCGACTTGACTGGTTGCCCTTCCGCTCTCTTGATTAGGTGTCTTTACAGAGACCACTCCATGAACGTAGTACCTATCACTATCACATGGACATCACTATCATTGTGATCCTCTGCCCCTTACGTCGTTGTGTTCACTCAGTTTCGTGATGATATTGGAATACATCCATCGGAAGAAACATGGGAATGGATTTGTCGGTGTCTCAAGTACACATGAACACCTGCGAGTACGGGCCATGGACGGTTAGCATCCCGTCGTAGGTCGATAAAGGTAGGTTATCATCTTCCGAAGTCAGATCCCGTGTCAAGTCCCGGCCGATAACCATTCTCCCTGGGTGCCATGTTGGCATGGCATGCTGTTAACGGGTTGTTGGTTTCATGACTTGCCATTTCCTTGCCTTGTCGCAACTGATCCTTTCATCAACCCGTCTGCATCCCAAACTTCGACGTCAGTGTTGGCTGTAGTCGCAAGCCACAATATAAAAGCGGCTCAAAATGATCAAAAGTAACGCAGAAAAGGGGCGGGTAGACAAAACCGAGACGGTTGCATATAACGGTTTGTCAACATGGCATTCTCGATGCCGTGTTTGCTAAGCGCCAAACATAGCAGTGAGTATGTCGTATTGAAGCTATACCGAAGTGGATAGGCTTTCGCTCCAACACGGAAGGAGTCGATGCTCGTGTTATGTCAGGCACCCGTATAATATCCCTCGCAGGTCCGCAACGAAGGAAAGATTAAAGACCAGCATCGCCACTTCCTTTTCACTTTCTCAGCATCACTCAACTTACTTTCCTTTCCCAATTATTATATTCACTCCATCAACTCCAGTCTCCAATCCTCAAACACTCTCACAGCCTTCAAACCTACCTCCAAACCTACCTAACCATGCACCTCTCCACCCTCCTCACCTCCCTCGTGACCCTCGGCCTACCTCTAGTCACCCTCACTTCCGCCGCCGCTCTCGACACCACTACTTCTGTTTCCACATCCAGAATATCCAGCACCTATTCCGCACCCGTGTCTACATCCACATCCAAGTCCACCACCACGTCCGCACCCGACTCTACCAGCCCCCAAACCATCGAAGAATACATCAAAGACAAACTAGCCGAACAATCCGCGACGAACAATAACTCTACCACGACAAACGATATCACATCCATCAAGCACGTCCAAGGGATGACTATCGAAGTCCCCACGTGCTGTCGGAACGGATGCCGAACTTGTTCGTCGAAGATCTGTGGAAAGGGCGCGAATGGGTGTAAGGAGTGGCCTGTATGTGCATAATTTCCTACATTTTGTCTTGACTCCTACCTTTCACTGTTTTCGTTTTGTTTGTCCTGTGTCACGGAACGGGATGCAACGTATGCTTCGGGTTTTGGATTAATGGAAGCTAACGAGAATCTAGTACTACTCGTGCTGCGCGACCATCATCATTTGGGATATCGGAAGGGATGTGATGCTGGATGCGTTTACTACTGCGGGACAGACGGTTGAGTTTGAGTATGATTGAGGGGGGGTAGTAGTGTTTGGTGGGTTGCTGGTGATGATGAAGCAGGTGAGGGAGGTGTTGGGGATGAGAAGGGGCTGTTGCGCTAGAGTCTCAAAGTTATTCGGTTGAATATGGCGGCCTATAAAGAGGATATAGATGCGCAATTCACTGGTATTCATATTATTCGAGATGGAGAAGAGAAAGGTTGGGTGCAGTGGCTGTTCACCTATATGAATAAAGAATGTGTCAGGCCATTTTGGTATACAATTGATAATATCCCCAAAAGAAAAAAAACCCAAAGATAATTATCAAAGCATGTAGTATACATATCTTCTTCTTTCCATGCCTCTAACAGACCTGTTTTTTCCTGGAACCTCCAACTCTACGACTGTCATTTCGGCGAGCAAGTTTTATTCGTAACAAATGCCCTCTCTTTCCAACGTACAAAGACCCAGCAATCAAACGCATCCTGGTTCTCTTGATACAGAAAAACCTCAAGGCTTTGGAAATTATTACATTACAAGACCATGTTTTCGACCAAACACCGACCAATGTGGAAATACCATCGAGTGTCTTGAAGAAATCACTTGGATGCAACCATCATCGCCTCCCCCGGGAAACTGGCTCTCCAACCTCTCTCCACTCGATAGGTACCTAGGTTTAAAGATCAACGGCAACAGGTCAAATGACTGGATAGGGATACATAGATCATAACGCTGACAATGGGAAACCCGATTGCCATAAAGACTGGAGCCCAATGGAGAAAGGGGGGGAATATGGGGAGTTCTGCATCACTAGGTAATGAAATGGCCGCAAAGTGACTAGCAGTGTCAATGACACTTACTCTGCAAGCAACTTTTCTCTTCCAGGCCCCCCAGCTTACTCAACCAGGTCGGTCCGTCGCCCCGGTAGATATCGGCAGTCAACCTGCATGCAACACTCATGAACCTCTGAGGTCCTTGAGTATCTCCGCCTCTTCGATTTTGTTGAGCTGCGGACTGTTTATATACCTAATGTCAGTTGCATAGCCCAAATTCTACGAAAGTCTTTTGTCCGATGTGTAATCGTCAGCTGCAAGGCATTGGTACAAAGGATGAAATCCAAGGATTCAAAAGAAAGTCGAGTGCGCGTGTGGCGGTACTTACTCTCAGCGGGCTCACCACGGAGTGCCAGCCTGGTGGTCTTTGGGAAAAGGGAACTGGGGCAATTCGACCGCACTAATCACCAGTGTTCACGAGGATTCCGTTGTGGCCATACTGTGTAAATGGAGAACAGTTCGTTAGGTTGGAAGTGCGTCACCAAAATCTGCAATTTACTTCCCATGTGTGGAGTATACTTCATTTTTCAACTAACAGTGTTCGCTCCTTCGATGATTACGAATTCTTTGCAGTGTCTGTTTCAACTAATTCCCATGCGCTATTCTCATCAAAGACCCAAATTGATAACTGCTTCAAACACGGCAATGATAACAAGTGTGGTATCAATGTAAAATGATAGACGGCTAAAGATATTACTGCCCGAGCAGTCAAGTACAAGGGGATATGACTCTTGGCCTCAAAATCTGACGGTGATTGTTCTAAGTGGGTAGATTTCGCCAACCCGTTCCTAATCGAGGTAAAATCCGTACACGACGATGTCGAGTCTTTTCAGTGACGAAGGAAAGGAGGTCTCGATCAGCGCAAGGACTTCCTGAGCTGTGTTTGGTGAAGGGAGACTCTCTGGAGGTGTATCTTCATCAATGGCGCCGAGATCCACCTGGGACGTGAGAAAATGGAAGGGCAGCTTGAGATATGCCAACTTTTCGAGTTCTGGTAAGCAAGATAACATCCTGGTAGGTCCAAAGCGGGTGATATTGCTCAGGTCTGCTCCGAGTCTGGAAACGTGATAAAGCCGGATTCCGCAATAGCCATCAAATACTAACTCCTCTAGCGTGTCTTTGTGTCTCAAGAGAAGGACAAAACTGACGTGGAGGAGAACTTTAGTTTGTACTACTTTTGCTCTTTGAGCAGGCGGCGTGAAAGTGACAGTATTCGAGAAGGTAGAAGCTGCACAGGTGATGGTTGTCTGGCTCGACGACCTGCGACGCTTTGGCTGCCCTATAGCGCAGCGAGTGGTTGGATTATGTATAGAGTGAGTTATCCAAAGTCGAGTATAATAAGTAACGCGAATATGCTGAGTTCCTTGTCTTGTACGTAGTCAAGAAGAATAAGATGGTGATGGAGACGAGAACAGGAAGACATGTCAAATTTGCCTTTGTGGTCCTCACAACACGATCATGCAGGTGGGTACGTGTCTGAGGCGCTTCTTCCCGACAAACCCTCTTCACGCCTTGTCATTGCCTTTCTACATTGCTTGCTTCCTGCAGTCATGTTTGGTGGACCTGCCTTCCAATAACTGTAACCACTGAGATGAGCTTCACCAGGCAAAGAGAAATGCCTCTGGTACAAAACAGCCGAATCCATGGTAACGAGCATCTCGAACAAAGTGTCGCTACAAAGGTTCCTATTACATGTACACACGCTCGACGCTGGTGAGCTGAGTAATCGGGAGTTAAGAAACCAAACGGACAAGCCAACAAGGGAAGGCCAGAACATCATAATCGAACAACTGGCCGGGAAATGCGGGTTGAAAGAGCAACGAAACCACCAGCAAATCATCTTGACAACTGAACCATTCACCATTCCTCATTGGGTTTGCCTGCGTGCTCCTATCGTCTAGCAACCTTCAGCAACCACTACCTCTTGCAAGCCGGACCAGACCGGACCAAACACCCCGTCTTGCACGGGGCGCAACTTCCGTAACCCAACGTCATCCGTCCCCCGGAAGGCACCGCAAAAGCCGGAGCGCACTGGCTGCATCCCGATGCATCCTTCTCCCCATCTTCCATCCACCGGTTTCCTTACTCCATCTATTTCGTGCCATGCCATGTGATGTCGATCCAGAAACACCACAAAAACAAAGAATAACGGATGGGAAATACAGTGCGCCCCTCCTTCCACCGTTTTCATCCCACCTCCTTCCATCAATTCTCCATGTACCTATTACTTCCACTTCTTATTCTTCTTCTTCTTCTTTTGTGCCCCTTCTTGCTAATCACCAGGGGTCTCCTCCGTTTTTCCTCCCAGGGGTAGGTATTTCCACTTTACTTTCCTCAGACTAGGGGACCAGGGGACCATGAAACTACTAAGGCGGACCTAAACCACCGACCTGGACGACCCCATCGACCTTTTTTTTTGCCATCGTGACCTAGTAAACTTCCCAAAATAAGCGAGGATACCGGATCCATCCAGTTAGCAAAGCACCAAACGGAAGTCCGATCCGCTAGTAGGTCGGCCAATAGGCGAGGAAATAGGCGAGGGGTGTTAGGCGACCTATGCAAATGATCGCCCTCTCATTTTCTTTGTTCGCCTCTTTCACTTTCTAGTAATAACCTGACTAAAAATGGAACCGATGAGATAGAGATAGAGAAAGCGAAAAACGTGGTAATCAACTAGCGAAGGATCCGAGTTCCAGTGATTTGGGAACCAGGACACCGGTAACGGCGGGATCGATGGTGGGTTATTAGGTACTTTTTTAGATCGAAGGGGGGATATCAATGGGACGGGATGGACTCCAGCAGCATGAACCGGAGAAACTCCCGGGTTATTGGGCGGTATACCTCTACTGAACGAGACATGTGGTGAAGCAGGGGATTGTGTAAGGGCATGGGGATTAGTGATGCCAACGACAGGTACAGCTTCAGGGGACCTGAGACTGAGAAACCAACACAAGTTCTAGTAAGGGGATGAACTTCAAGCAAGCCGTGGGGAAGGCAGATGTTGAATACAGTGTCGTCTAGGGTGTTCAACTTGGGTGAAACTTGAGAGAAGGATCCCAGCTCCAACAGCTGCGTCGTTGGTTGTCCCATGTCTTACTACAATTCTCGATGCTTGCAAGACCGAGCTACGACTGCCCTAGATCTAACTGCAAGAACAAAGCTCTCCCAAAACCAGGACAGCCATGACAGCTTCCAAGCCCTACCTCGGTAGGTCAGGTAGCCCGGTCCAGCTACGGTCCCGATTCCAGCTGCAGTTTCCAGCTGCACATCTGCTTCAGTACCCGACGGAAGGTAGGTACCTAACCCGACGGAACGGATATCAGGACATCCATTTCCCAAGATAGAGCAAGGAGATCCCCGAACGAGCCAGGCGGACAAAGGGGTGGGAACGAGACTAATCGGCGAATCCGTGGATCCCCCCCCAGTGCCCATCCACTCCGTTTTCCCCAGACATTGTAGATATTACCTAGTCTGATGAGAAGAAGCCAATATGTCTGTCCCCTTCACCAACAAGGACCAAGGACCAATCTCTAGCAGGAACAGGAACAGGAACAGTATGTAAAGACTCATTCATAACACCTAAAAATCCACTTGAACTCCGTTTTCGACACCCTACCTACCTAGGTAGGTAGGTAGTCCATAAAGCCCCCCTGAGAACTTGGAAGAACTAACGGGGTCCATTGATCTGTCACAGGGTCAAGTCTGGTCCTCACCTCAGTGCCATGCATGTTGTCCCATGTGACTTCCCATGTCTCTTGTTGCTCGCTGGCTCGTCAATAAAGCGAGAAGTCGCCGAGTTAAAGCCTACGACTAGACTAGGTAGGTAGGTGTATGTGAAGCGACCGAATGACGGCCGGACCGACCGAGCGAGCGAGCGGATAGAGCGAAGAGGGAGAGAGAGAGAGAGAAAACGGTGCCCTGGCTAGACTAGCAAGGTATAAGACAACAATCATCAGGGGCAGGGCCGTCTAGCTGGGATTTGCAGTATGCATAGCAAGGAAACGGAACTTGGTTGTTGCCCATACAGCTTGCTAAAGTCTACCTCTACTGACTAATTCCCATTTCATACTAGATGCTCTGTCACAGGAACAAGGGGGGAGGTGAAATTCCGGGGATGTGGAAACTCTGTTTCTTTCCTTTTTGTGACAACGATCATGGCATGGCATGGTGGTTGGTCTTAGTGTATTGATCCCGTGGGTGGTGAGCAAGGTGCCTGGTTTGAACAAGGGGAAGTGTAGATGCGATTATAGTGTGGGTACCTTGAAGCCTCGTGGTGTTTTTTTGGGGGTTGACCTGGGACCTGGCCTGGGATATTGTAGAACTACACTTTAAAGGGGAAAAGGAAAGAGGAAAGGGGGAGTCGTGACGAATGGGAAAGTTGGAATTGGTCCAACTGGTAAAATTGATCGACAATGATGTTCGATTAGTTTGGAAATAGCTTGCGATTTTGGGATCCAGGAACGAGGTTTTTTGGCAAGGGGAAATTGCTTAGCGAGGGCGCACGTGGTTTTTCGAGGTGATCGCCGTTTCAACGAGCGATTGGGAATCCCAATGGGGGACCATGGGATGGGGGGGGACCTGAATTAAACCGTTTATAGCAGCGTTAGTTAGTTTTGTTCTATGAGGTGTTGTAGATCCGTATGTTGTAGCGAGGGTTTTTTTTTGGGCGAGGGACCAACCTGACTGCTGAGCCTGAGTTTCTCCGTCCCACCCGGACCCCGGGTCCGTTATTGTTGTCCGCCTGGGCCCCCGGTAACCCCCGGCACCCTCCCCTGAGGGTTCGTTCAGTTCCATCCATTCGGTTCCGACGGCGTATTTTCGACAGGGACCCCAATAACGTTGAGTTTCGATGACGACGAGGTCGACAATGATGACGACGGGGACAGCGAGGTTGCATTCAACAGCAGCTTGATGTGAATCAACTGTTTGGGGGTCAATTTGTTCGTTTCTTCTCTCCTGCCTGTTTTGAGCCCTTGACCAACAAAGGTCTCGGTAACTCCGCCTTAATTCCCCTTTTGCTTTTTTTTTGTTTTGTGTCGATTTGTTTCAAGATCGGGTTTTCAGCGACCGTTATCACTCACCATTGCAGTGAATCACGACCCCTGGAAAACCCCTGAATAAAAGGGAAAAACAAAACAAGCAACGACCACGACATACAATTACAACGGCACGATTTACCATATAGAAAGAATTGAACTGATATGTCAGTATACCATATGATGGTTCCAAGGAACATTTCAAATAGCTATCCAATATCAATTTACCCCCCATCCTTCAAAAGCAACGAAAAACGTGGGAGGGAATACAAGGATTAATCGTGATCTGGTGCCGCACATGGTGTGGTACCAAGGTGCTGTATCAAATGGTTGTAGCGGATCCCCATTTCAACGTTTTGGGGCCTTTTTTTGGAGGGGTTTTTGGGGGACATTACCAACTGAATGAGAAAAGAGGCCCACACTTTTTTGCACCGTATCAATATCTGGACAAAATGGAAACAGGAAAACAAAAATGGTCGGGAAATTACCTCTAGAGAGAATGAGAAACGTCAGTTTGTCAGGAATTCCACCCAACTCCGTTCTCTTCTCTTTTTTTTTCCCCATCAACAGTAAGGATTGAAGGTAGCTTCAGCCCTTCCAGGAAGAAACCTCCGTTTTTCTCCATCCCGGGCAGACTTTCAGCTTGAAAGAGGGCTAGATACTGTAGCAGGAATAGTAGTTGCAAGGGGGCCTTGAACATTTTCATTGTTTTCAGGGTCCTTTATCCTGCTGTCTGTCTTGCAGCGAATTGGTTCCAAAACGGCGAACTTACAGGGACTAACAACTCCATGCTATGCCATGTCATGCCACGAGTTCCGCGCCGCCGGCGCCGCCGCGATGGTGCCCTCGTGGGTTGGTGCAGTGGAGCTGCTTCTTTCCCATCTATATGTAATGCCCGGAGTTTCGAAATTCAGGGCGAGACGTAACGGAAGGGTGAATCAGGGGGGGTTGAGTGGACCTTCTGGAAGCCTGAATGGAACAACGGAAGAGGTTCGCTCACTTTCCCACTTTCGCCCAGAATAGTAATCGGATGGAATTGGATGGCAAAAAGTGGCCCTGTCACCGGCCGGCCCGCCGTCCCAGCTGGCTGGCTGTCTGTCTGTCTGTCGTAAGGCTTGCTGCAGCCTCGATATGTAGGAATGAATTGATCATGCATGCACCGGGATGGCATCTTGTGGCTGCCACCGCGGATGCGAGCCTTCTGTTTCCGAAAGTGAAGTATGGTGTGAAGGCTGTCACCAGAGTCGTAACCGTCCGATAACGACCCATGAAGTCTACTACTGCACTGTCGAGACTGCCGACAGCAGCTCAACATCATCACCACCACCATCATCACATTACTAAGACACGATGGAACCACAAAAGAAACATCTTCTCTCGTTTCAAACACCGTCAGAACAAGGAATCGTCACTGTTTCGACGACGATAATGACAAGGATGACCTTTTTAGCGAAGACCACGCATGGAAGGCCCGCCCTGGCTTGAGCCTGGCAGCTGCAGCAATTTGGGCCATGGGATCCGAAAGACTGGTAACTTGGCTAACTTGTGCCTTGATTGGGCGAACAACCAGATGACAGCTTTCTGAGTGCATCAGCTCAGGGACCGGAAGTGGTCCGCGGGGGGGGGTTCATGTACCGGGGCACGTAACTTGCGAGTGCTTGCGAGTGCGGAATTTGGGAGCCCTCAAACGGAAACCAGGGCGAAAGTGCCGGATGGTCCCCGGGCCCCCCTCCCCCCCTGGTATTAGTTTGCCCAGTATTTTTGGGGGGTGGTAGTGGATAATGTCCCAGGGGGGCAGCATTGAGGATTTGCAACCAACCCCCAGCGCTATCTTGTCGATCCGTGAATGGAAATCGATTTGTGTCTAGCCCAAGCGAGCATGGAAGGTTTCCCACTTGATACCGACTGTATGGCTGAGATGCTATACCATACCAGGTCTTGTTTAGGCCTGTCTCGTGCCTGTCTAGCAGCTCATGCTAAAGAGATTCAACCCCCAGGGCTCTAAACCTGGTCTTGCGTGGCCCCGTGGGTGACAAAGTAAGACTGAAGTTAAAGAAATCTCCCAAAATGGAAAACCCCCACACCACATCACTTGCCAAGCGCGATCGGAGTTGGTTTCGGGGGAAATTATCAAGAAGCTGGGGAAACAGATACCCTCTAGTGATGATGACCGTCTCTTTGGATCAGAGGGGACGGGATTGACCTTGGGATGAATGTTTCCATGCGGGCTGACAAGGTTGTGGTTTCTTGATTTAGCCTCTCGCTCTGTGTAGCGTAGTCCGGGGAAGAGGTGGGATGGTTGAAGCTGGATCGGGAACCCGGGTAAGGGCCGGGTGAGCAGCCGGATGGCAACCGGGAACTTGCCTGGAATTACGAAGACAGGATTCTCGTGACTTTGCGGCATGGAACAGGCGTATGAGGAAAGCTACCCATCCATCCGCCATCAGGGCATCACCATGTTGATACCGTGGTGAGACGGAGCTTGAAAAGCTGCATGAAACACAGTACCATAGAGTGAGGGAAGAAGGGCCCGCGGAGGACCCCCACTCCGTAAGACGGGCCTCGACGGGATCTACCGCCCCGGAACCTTTTTTTTTTCTCTTTCTGATGCTGCTCTGGTCCTGGAGCACAAGTTGAAGGAGGCGTGCCCCTGGCTAATGGCATGGCTAGACAGAATGAGAAAGAAGAAAGGCGAATGGAGAAAGGTGATTGGATGGTTTTTTTGCAGCTCCGCAGTTTGGTGATACACTACCTGGATACTTACCTCTACTGAGCTACTTACACAAAACGGAGCATGATGATGACACTGCAGGACTCAAGAGTGCTCAAACTTCAGGTGCTGTAACGGTGTATCCGCCTTCTAGTGTACGGCAACTTTGTGTTGCTGCCTGTGGCGCTCTACGCTTCCACTGCATCATCCTTTTTTACTTGAAGATGAGTGATGACTGTAACGTTGTCGACGAGGCGGTGCACGACTCCCGTCTCGATATTCCTAAGCTCCGGACATCCGATTCGTGTTGTCTCGGATGCGGGAATCGATTTGGATGTCAAATGGGACGGCGGCAGCGGCCCAGTGGCAGCAACAGCGATCCGGGAGAATCCCAAAGAAGGGGGGACGGGATGATTATAATTACTCCTGTTTGTCGTGTGGTGGTGTTACGTTCAGTCGGTCGGTACCTGACAATCCTGATAGTCCTGACGGAGCTGGCGAGGGACGGAGTCATCCATCATCCTGTCCACCCACGCCTGTCGTCATCCCACCCTACCTACCTACATGCGCGCTACGTCGGTTGGTAGTAGTCATCGCAGGCAGCTTCGTGAGGTTTCGCCGAGATTACCAATGGAGGCCATATTGGTGATATTGACGACGGGATAGGCCAGACTGATGACAGACAGCATCGCGATGATTCCCAACGAGTAACAACGATGATGATGATGACGATGATGTAACGGGGGATATGGAAGTGACTCGAATTCGCAGCAAAAAGTGGTAAGCGAGTCAGGGTTGCTAGAGGTAATGTGAGGCTTACTACAGGCAGGGTATGTGTGTGCTGCCTGCCGACGACCTGCCAGCCACATCGTGCCTTGCATAGACTGTCGCTGATCTATAAGCGGATTGATCTGAAACAATTAAAGCGATCCGAGAAGACAAGCCAGCCCAGTGACAGCTGGTGGTGGGTGTGCGCGCGCGCCGAAGGGAATCCCGTGTGACGACGATAGTGGTGGTGACTTCATCGGCTCGGGCAGTTTGGTGGTTGTAGTGGGGTTGTCAAAGTTGTAATTACAGCGGGGGATGAAGCTCCATTTTCAGAATGAGGATTTGGGGGAAAATAGGACGAACCGTGTGTTCTGACGAATGAAAAGGATGCAAAATGCGACCTGACCACATCGGGTCCTGGGGGGAAATGGATGCAAAATTGAAAGTGGAGCCGTCTCAGCTGGGTTCCCCGATTTAACCCCAATTCCCGTCAGGTCCCTCTCAAGCCTCACCACTCTGGGCATTCAACACGCGCCCCTCAATTATCAGCCACTAACCTCAACTGCATCATGCCACACCCAGAACCTCTCCCCTTTTGACTTCACTACATACCTACGAATGGGACCCAATGAGATGATGTGAAACCTTCGTGATGGCCGGTGCAGTAGTGATGGTGCCTCCCGGGGAATTCATCTCTCAGCTCCCCCGCCTCATCGGGCCCGTCAGGCGTCAGGCGGCCGGCCCGTGTCCAAAGAAAGAAGTGGGATCGATGAGGTGACCCAGAGATATGGTTCAGCGCGGATTACACAACGTCGGCGACGTCGGGTGCAATCACCGCCAATGATCCCTTCTTGCGAGCTTTTCCATATCCCCTTTTGTCGATTTTTCTTTTGTTTCAATCCCCAAACGACATACATACGTACGATATGAGGCTGGTAGTGTACATGGCTTGGTGATCATGCTGACTGGCCGAACAGAAGCGGTTTAGATTGTTTCTGTCTGTCACTGTGACGAAGTTGATATTCTCTCCGTCATTGTCAGGGGTTGCAGTGAGGTATCACCCTCTTTTGGGATTATTTTTGGTGATTTTGAACCACCACTCCTCCTGCACCGCGGCCATTCCCGGTTCACACCACCCATTGCATCAATCAGCGGGCAGCTAGCTCGCCTTGCTTTCACCACCCAAAACGTCGCAAGAGGTTCCCAAATTGAGGCCCTTTTTTTTTGAGATTTGACAAGGCGCGCCCGATCCGACCCAGGACTGCGGACCTGGGTCTGCGAGAAGGGATGTTCCCGGGATCGGACTGATACGCCCAGACGCCGTATGGGGGCATCACATCTCGGACATATCTTTCTCCAGCTTCACGTCCTCGTGAACCTAGTGTAGCAACCTCCATTTCTCCACTGGATATTGTAAATACTGTGGCGCATTGCGCATAGCCAAGCATTGTTAATTTGGGCTTGAGAATCCTGTGAGGAGGCTTTGACAGCTTGGTTGTTGACATTGACTTGTACCCCCTTATCCGATCCTGAATCTGACCCTGTGGATTCGTAACGGAACGCAACAGCCGCCCCCGGAGCCTCAAACCCTCGGACTTGAGAGTCTCTGATACGTACGACGGCAATGCCCGAACACATCTCTCTCCGAGTCTGGCATTGACATTGACACTGAATGTGTAGATGGCACACCTCAGCTACTCCTTGCCCTGGCATTACACTACACTAGCCCCGCATTCAATCGACGAGCTAAATGCGCTCTAGCACGCAGTGTAAAGCCTTGATAGGCCCGGGGAATGGACGGAATGAACGGAACTGGGGCGGAATTCATTCATGGTGTTTTTGAATCACGAGGACATTGTCGAATGGTAGGTAACGTCTTGAGACTAGCAGCAGCAGCACTTAGCCGGGGCAGACCAGCCAGCAGCACCTGAGACGACCAGAGACTCTGCACCATGCTCCATTTGCTCCAAGACCAGGTCGAAAAAAGTCTAGGCTGGCCTTTAGAGCATGCATTAGCGGGCTCCATAGTCCTTTGGAGGTTTTGTTTGGTCTCATCCCGCTGTTTTCTTGTCTCTGTCTGTTGTCGGTTATCGGTTACGACTGATGCCATCTGACGATGATCCGATGGATGGCATGGTATGTTATTCGTGTTGGTATCAAGCCTGGTCAATTCATCGTCATTACCTTTTCTTCTTCTTCTTTTTTTTTTTTTTCTCCATCGTCCTGGGAAGCCCTGCCCCGGGTGGCTAGGGACACTAAAGGTGGACAACGATGGACGACCGGGTGTTACCCGACGGGATCTCCTGCTCAAAGTCGTGGGGCTTTTTCGTGGTCGCCGAATGACAATGACAACGAAATATCGTGGACTCCGGCTCCGGTCGCCGGTTCCAGGCCGGGCAATGGAGGATGGCTGGCTTTTCATGTCGTGAAGCTCAACTTGGGCATATGATCTGCGCCCTCGTTTTAACGTAGGGGTCAATCTGAGGCTTCAGTTGTTGTCACTGCTCTTACGTATCCCCCGTGGTAACCATAGAGGTTCTTGCGAGCTGGACGGACAGCTGGATCGGAGTTCTGAGTGGTGGGTGGGGGTCCACATGGTGTCGTTTCGTTCAATTCGGGGTTCGGGAATGGCTGCACCCGACTGCACTGCACTGATCGATGCAGGCACAAAGCACGGAGCACAAAAAGCACAGGGCACCTATTTCGTGGTGTGTCTTACCAGGTACACACTACAGAGAGGTAACAGCACTGGGCAACGGTTCAAGCTCCCCTCACGCACAGACCTTTTGTTCGAACGGGCCATCCCACGGCAATCCTCTGATCGCTGGTTGTGTTAACGTCGGGTCGGCGTTGACTTTAACATTGCAGGAGTCAAATCAAGCAAGCAAGCAAACAAACAAACGACCGGATAATTTTGTTAATCAATCAATCAATCAATCAAGGTAGCGCATCCATCCGTCCACCCGTCCCGGGCCGCAGCGAACATTAAAGATCGAACGGGCCTTACCTGCCGTACCTTACCTCTCTCTACCTTTCCACAACGTGATATGACCTAATGACATGGGATGGAAGCTCAGGTACCGTACCGCGCCCCGTGCCTATGGTAGAGAGGTAGGTAGGTACGTAAGTTGTTACGACAGTCGACGACGACGACCGGTCCGGCTACCGGCCCGCCAGCAGCATCAGCACCTGGCTGGCTGGCACCTCGCTACCTCTACCTTCGTTAGAATACCTACGCTACCCCGGAATTAGCTCCGCTGATGGTGTGGTTCGCTGTAATTAATCTCCATCCTCTTTTGTTCGCGCGGGTCGGGCGCAACGCTTCAATTTTAGTAATAAACGGTTCGATTCTCATAAAACTGTGAATGAACAAACGAACGAACGAACGGGTCCCGGAAAGTCCGTCCGCTCGCTTGCCATTCTTAGAAGAGAAGCGAGAAATCACAGACAGCTTTTTTGAAATGTGTGTGTGTGTGTGTCTGTGTGGGTGGGTGTTCGTTTTGAAAGAAAGGCAAAAAAAGTGATAATGAGTGATGCATGGTTAAGTTCCCGCGTTTTGGGCTTGACATATGCTGCCACGTATGTAACATACATAGGTGCACGCACGCACCCACGCACGCACGTCAACAAAGAAGGGGGAGAGAAAAGAAAAAAAGAAAAAAAAGGGAAGAAAATAGTGATAGATGCAAGTTGCAAGTGTCAATAACTGCGCGGCAGGCAGTCGTGATTCAGATCCGCCACACCACACACAATGTAATAAGTTCGTTCGTTCGTTCGCGTGTGTGTCATTATCTTTGTATGAGACAAACAGATCGGGAACGTGCATTCTCGAGGTCGCCGTTCACACCTTCTACTTCTCTGTCCCCGTCGCCCAAGCCTTTGCCACAGTCAACAAGGTGATTTTCTTTTTCTTTTCTTTTCTTTCCTTTCTTTTTTTGCGTTCGTATATCGAACGTAGGACAAGCTTATCCGGATGTGCTCAAGTGCGGCTGAAAATATTCACGAAAGGCAAAAAGTCCACGTTGATTATTGAGAGAGAAATCTCAAATGTTCCATTTGCTGTGGTATGATGTATAGACCAAGCTTTTCTTTCGCTAATCTATATAACTACTTTAATTATCCATCCTCCGACTGTATCTTTATACATGAGTGAGATCCGATATAAGGGGTGCAGGGAGGGGATTGACTAAACAAAAGACGAGAGGGGGTATCTTGTATAACCTGGATCCAGCCAAGCGAACACTGACTGCCCTTTTCATGGCTGGAGATACCAAGGGAAACTGATGCCCCAAAATGTGTATCCTCCAAAATAATGCCAGATGGTGTACAGTGGTGATGTGACGATGATGATGGTGTGATGTGACATGAAAAGGAAATAGGGGCCATGATGCGCTGTGCGGGTAATGATGGCTGTCTCCGCGAGGAGATCCATCCCGATGTGGTAGTACATCCCATAACAAGGTGGGAAAATACAAGAAAATACAGAAAGTCTAGATGCAATGAAAAGCAGTTTTTCCCAGCCACCCAAGTCTTTTTCCCAATCCAACCCAGGACAAAAGAGAAAAGAAAAACCAAAATGCTGTAATGTCGGTCGCCCATCATTCTTGGTTGGCATGCCCGTCCCTGAGCCCATGCTCAAGTGCCGTTCCCGCTGTGGTGATTCGGCGAATTATGAGATCGGATCGTGTTCCGGCTGGGTTTGGGAGGGCGTGATCAAGTTGGTGGTCGAATGTGTTCGGGAGAGAAGCTGGTAGGTTGCGCGCTGCTTCTTTCCGTCGCGATCCGCGCAAAACAGGTTTGGTGTGAAAAATGACAAGTGACTACCCCAAGAGCGACTCGAGTATTGCTCCATTAAAGCCCAACAAAAAGAAAAATGCAACCAAGCCCCTCTCTATGTGTAAACGCCGTGCACCAGGTGTAAAAAGCAAAACTCAGTGTGAAAAGGTAGAGTCAGCCGCCCGGAATGAACCACCCGCTTGTTGTCTTGTTCTCCTCCATGTTATTAAAAGGCGTACTCCGAATTAGAATTAATCGCCCGAGAATGAGATCGCAGAGGTTGTTGACTAAAATGTGGTAGAGGTCGATAAAAGAGGGCGAGGGCGAGATTAAAACCGATTATAGTATAGTAGTCGAAAAGAGAAGTCGCAAAAACGAAGAGGTGCATGGTGCTGCTGGTTCAAGATCGCCGCTATGTTTTGGTTGTTGATTGTCGTCCCAATGTCGATTCAGGAATGAGAACATGGCCAAAATGTCGAGCGCCGCTGTTTCGCTGCATTCCGCACGGTATCTTGTCGTGACAATGATCCGCGCTGCAGTGAATCAAGGGATGAACAGGCACGCATCAGGTCCCGATAATGATCGAGGGCCCTTTACCTCCGGCTGGGCTTGGGCGGCTGTGGGGGCTTGGGGACACCGGTGGTATCGTAGGCGCCACGGCCGAAGTTGAAGACAGACTGAGACTCCCTGGTGATCATTTTGGCGGTTCTGAAGGTTGTATTAAAATGTCGCAGGAGCTGTAGCACCGTGAAGACACCTTGGTTAGCCATGTGTCCGACCCGGCATCTGGAGTGTTGCGCGTCATGACTCACAATTGAGACGCCAAAGTGTAATCGGCGAGAATTAGGATTCGATAAAGTGTCGTCAACAAGTGCGTAAGCTTTGTGTTTTTGTTGTGTTGATGGTTGTTGTTGTTCTTGTGGTGTTGTTCGGTATGCTTCCCGTTTCGGAAGTCTTTCGTGATATTCGAAATAGGAAAGGAACTCTTTGGAGCTGGCAGTCGTGCAGTAGTGTGGATCTGAAATAGACAAGTAAGGCAGTATTAAACCTGTTGTTTATTCACAACACAGGAGAAGAATTAGGATCCGAAGATGGTTGAGAAGCTGTGATGGGGATTCCAAGAAAAGAGGTCTGAACGGGGAAGGGGATCTCTCGGTCTTATAACATGAGGATTACTGGAACTGGAACGAGGCAATGTCAAAATGGAAGTCAAGGGGGTGACCACCTTATTTTCCCTACCTTGTCGTTGGCATCAATTGTCTCTTGGACCACACCCCGGTTCCCAGTCCGTCCCAATCCCAAAGACAACCACACCAGACACGACAGGGCAGCCGGGGGACCCAGCCAAAGGAGCCCGGTACCTTGTCTGGTGTGTGTCTTTGCGTGCAAGCTCCGTTTTACGAGACGAACTGGACAACGCCTGAGGTACGTGTAGCTCACCTGTACCCATGTACCTCTGTCGTTTGGGGCCAGCTTGGACGGACCCATCTCCTTTTGCCGGGAGATTTCCATTTTCAGGCCCATTTCAGGACCCAGCGGATGGCCTCGGTGGATTTCAGCGGGCCGGGGTGCTCCCTGTCCTATCCACCAGTTCTCCCACACGTCTCGAAAAACGGAGGAACGGAGCTTGCGTGGGCGCGGCAGGTTGCTGGCGTTGTCGCAGTGGTCAGAGAAGTAGCTGGTACGAGTGAGCGAGAAAACGGAATGATGAGGTGAGCAGATTGGCACACTCTGGCACTGTGCCCCTCCAGAACGGTATCACGGTACCCGAGGCACCCTCAGCACGGACGCCCGAGAGATCCAGCGACACAGCGAGCGAGCCAGTCCTCCGGGCGAGAAGAGCCACGATGTTATTGTCGAAGGTCGACTGCCTGCCTGTCCTGCCATGGCTGCCATCCACCCGTCGCGGAATCGCCTGCCGGTGCCATGTGAGGCCAGCCAGTGTCTGTCTGGGCTGTCAGGCAAGTGTCAAACTGTCAGAGCTTGGGGCCTTCCTAAAACTGATTTGATGGCCTCAGACGTGCGTACGGAGGGTGCCATTCCAGATAGACATTGGGCAATCAGATTGCTGCTGGCTGGCAAAGACTTGAGAGGGTTCTCTTGATTGCGTACGCAGTGCAGCGCAGGCGTGCAGTGCAGCTCAGCGGTCTGACTGATGACAGTCAGTGAGCCAGCCTACGCTTTGCAGACTTTTTTTTTTTTTCCTGTCTTTGAATGTTACATTTGCCATGGGATCCGGCCTTGCATCTTGTCATGTCTTGTCCTTTCTTGTTGTGGTGAGGCTGGTGCTGATGCTGTTTGTTGGGTCTCTGAGATATTGTGGATTGGCAGGCACCTACCACAAGCGGGAACGACCGCAGAAAACAGGGGTCGTCGCACTTGGTGATTGACGTCGGCGACGACGAGATGCCCAGACATCACAATCACCACCACCACCACCACCACAGGAAATTCCCCGTCGTGTCGTCGGAAAAGCAATGATTGATTCGAATGTATTGCGCCGCAAATAGATAAATGGGGTTTGTTCCTGCGTAATCGTGACGCAAAGGTGCGCCAGCGCCAGTTTGGAGTGTGTCCGTTCCTTCATTCGTTCAGTGATGCGTAGGTTGCTTTTTTGTTTGTTTCGGGATGAAGGGTCCCAGGACCCGTCGTGATGTAAAACAGAAGAAAAAGTAAGAAGTGGAAGGCCAGCAAGGAGGAGGGGCAGAGGTACGGACAATGAGAGGTTGCAGCCCGCAGTGGCCGCATTGCCCGCCCGCCCGCCCGCCTACCTACAATCACGGGCATCCGAACCCGATGCAGTGGGCGATGAACGGTGCCGTGAACGCCCACTTGTTTTCCGGATGTTTCATCCTTCCCTTCGGATTGGCCATGAGGCTGGAAAATGAAGGCCGCGAACAAACAACAAAAGTGAACACACACTTGGCAGCCGCACTTGCAAAATTATCGCGGAAATCAAGTCGGTTTGATGCCACTGCACTGCAGCCTCGTCATCACTGCGTCGAGAGAGGACGGAGGCAGGAGCATTGGGTCATTCATGGCCGTCACTTTGCTTGCCCTGCACTCGGGCCCGGGACGGAAGGGACACGGCCGGCAACTGAAGCACATCCACCCTTTCCTTTCGCGCCTTCCGCTTCACAAACTAAACTGAATGGACTCGGTCGCAAAGGAGGAAGGAAGCCACAATCAAGTAGTAGTAACTAATTTCAAAGGCAGCAACAATCAAACGAACAAAGGTCAGGTCCGTGTTCCTTCCAGTCTTGTACCGTGGTACGGGAAATCTCTTCACATCAATTTCAGTTCTTGGGCGGGAATCACAAGAACTGAAGTTGAGGAGGGCTTCCATTTCCACAATTCGAGTGCAATGACACCTCACCACGCTCCCTCGCTCGATCTAGGAACCGGACCATGCATCTTCAACATGTACCACTGGCCCATCATGAAATATTCACGACCCTGAAAATCGGGTTCTCCATCAAATGACGACCCTTCTCATCGTGTCAAATGGTGACATTCGATCGGCCCTCGATCGGCCCTCTCCCGTCTCTTAGGTTGTCTCTCGTCTTCCATCCGTCATCCACTCTTCCGTTACAAACTTCGGCCTCTTCGTAGCCACTCCAGTCTCTCTGCATCACCACCTTATTCCCGCAGCCTACCTCCAGTCCGTGTGTGCTTGACCAGACAAGACAGGACAGGACAAAACAAGACTACCTTGGACTCTGCAGTAGGGCTGCAGCCTTTTTGGAGCCTCTTTGTTTCTCACTCCTCTTTACAGCTCCAGCTTTTCTCCGGATCGGCCTCGATGGAGAAGGAGGGGGCAGACTGTCCGGGAAAACGGAGAACCATAAAGTCCATATCAGGGACGGTCCGAAACGCGAGTTGCTCCTCTGAGCGACTTCTGACAGGCCCAGCCTCCAGTTTCATCTTTTTTGCAGTCCTCTTGCCGTCTTGACGTTGGCCGGCTCCCAATCCGGATTCGATGAACACAACACCCATGAAGGATTTTCTGAGGGTTTTATCAGAATCTGCACTGGCAGTCTTTAACGCTGCGATAAGCCACACGCCACACCCACCACACCGCGCCCAAAAGCCAAGCAGATACATATGTACAAATGGCAAACTTACAAACGCTCATGCGCAGTTCGCCGGATGACAGGAACAAAAGATCATCTCGATTTGTCCGGCTTCTCTGCGTGCCGGATTTATATGTCCTACAATGGGAACAAGACAGCCCGACAGGACCGGCGCTGACTGATGATGGATGATATGGCTGCGCCTTGTTCTAAAATCCGACACGCTCATCCCGCCGCCACAGCCATTTTCACCACCGCCATTGACGACAGGACCGACTCAAGCTATTCTCTTCCAAAACGGTCGTCATGATTGGAGAGAAAAAGAATTTCACCCCTGGAACCTCGACAAACTTTTTTTTCTCCGGTTTTCAATTGAACCAACCCCGAGTTCGCATCATCAACATGTGCAGAGAAGTGCGGCATGCCGCTGCACTCTTGACGCAGAGTTTACACACACTCTCTCAGGGCATTGGACAGTGGCATCGTGTCTGCCATTACAGGCCACAAGGTACCCCCGAGATATGTACCCAAAAAAACATGTTACGATGGCTGGGGGTTTCCGGGTGCGGTGCCCTTGGTTCCTTTCGGCTCGCACCGCACACTCAGCAGCTTCTCAGCAAGAAAAACAAAGGTCGGCATTTTTCGTCATTTTTTTTGAGGTCATCTTCTCACATTCACCCACATTCACGAGCGGCGGACATGTTTCGTTGGTGGACATGCAAGTTGCAGTGCATCTTGCAAGTGTCGGTTTCAGACTTGCCTGGACCCGCCGTTAGTGCTAGCCCTTACCCCGTACTAACCACGAACTACCCGTAGACTACGGCCTAGCCTGGGGAGCTACTGCGGCCTAGTCTTGTCTAGCTGCTACGGGGGTGGACACTGGTACGATACGGCGGCGTTGCAGTTCGACAACATCATCACCAGTCTGCCAATTGCCTTATCTGGACATCCGAGTCCCACAGCTTGGCCCATTCCCGCCCGTTGAGTTTCTCCATGGCCGGCGGCCACATGCCCAGCCCGGAATTTGTCCCTGCCATCTCGTCGTACTTCGTCGCATCTCGGAACCAAAGGAGCGTGGGCAGCAACGCCGGGCCATTGGGGAATCCAAGAAGCTCTGCGGACGACCAGGAGCCCCCCCCGGACTCTGCATACGCGGCATCCTTCCTAGGGCAGGTGAGAGACAAGGGTTGGGTGGACGCCAGACCACTTAGTATACCAGACTGGCAAGTACCGGGGATGTTGCTGGTGCGCCGGCCTTCCTCTGTTCGGTGATGGTTCGGTGCTTGTTGGGCTTCGTGGCACTGCATCAGATATCCAGCTAATAATAGGCCCACTCTGCGATAGCGAGGTGAAGCTGCTGGTCGCCCTTGGTGTTGGCTAACTCTGGTCCACGTTTTCCCCTCGTCCACACGACCACGGTATGTAGCCAGACCAGACCCTGATGACCTCTTCTGCACTTGGCTCAGATCGGTCTTCTCTCCGTCTGCATTGCCGTCCGTCCAGTGGCCACGGCCTCGCACTCTTGGACACCCGCAGTCCACTACCGTGGTGGCCTGTAGATACTTAGGCCTGCCCACCTATGGACAGCATCTCCAAAGCGTCCCCATCGGCATCCAGCCTCCTCCTTCTCATTCGGCCGTAGGCGGAACGTTTGGTCAAGGCCAGCGAGTCTCTCCGGTTCCGCCCTGGATAGTCTCCAGTCCACAAAACAACCAAGCCCAGCGAGCTATCGAAATTCCATCGAAATCCATAGAGATGGGTCAGAGTTGCCCGAGACAGGCCACAGAGTTCTCGCTCTGGGAATAGATCATCACCACCAGAATCCACCGCAAAATGGCTCGAAAACATGAGCATCTTGGCCAAGAACCAAGCTTGTTGCCGGTTGCAGCTTCGCGACCCCGGACGTGGCGGACTTTCTGCAGTCCTGGGGTCGTAACCTGAAGATAGTCAGGCTGCTATGACGCTGCCGACACCCTGCAAACGGCAGATCTGGACTTGAACCACAGCGAAAGTGCTCCAGGTCGTGGTGTGCCTGCATCGTACAACGAGAGTCGCTCCTCAGAAACGGCCGTCCGATGTTCTGATAGGCACGCCGAGCGTAGCTGCCCCGGCCCCGGATCGTGCCGTCCAATCTGCGCGAGTTTCGCTCTGCACTATGCTCCGAGTTTCGCTCGCCCCAGCCACCGCGCCTTCGTACCGTTCGTCAGAGGTCCGGAACGGTTACCCGGGTAAAAATCTCGTTCACCAGAGGCTGTCACTTGATGACTCAGCCTTGGTTTCATAGGTGGGCATGCTGTGAGCTGTCAGTCCCAAGTTGCTGCAGGCCAAAGGAAAGGTCGGCAATAGTAGTGTTCGGGGCCAAGGTGGGAGAAATCTGAACCTTCATCTACCACAGTGTGTCAGTCTTTACAACCGCATCAAAAACATAAACAACACGCTTCTGGATTGTTTATAATGCCTCTGCGTGGTTGAAGCATGACGCCAGCGCGGTCCGAACAGAAGGCATATGTTGAAAACATCTGTTAGTGTGAATGTGCTGGTTAACAGCAGGGCATATGAAAGCGATCTCAGGGTCGTTGGGCCACTTTGTGAGGCCACACTGTGTCCACCCAGCTGCCCGGATTGTATCCGAAGCGTTGCTGCCGGTATCATGTGGCAGCCGCTCCGTTTTCAGGACTAAGGCCAAGGCATTCTTCACACCTCTGGAGGTATGTTGTTACAATTAACCTTCACTGGCGCGTCGATTCACACGTTATCACCACCCGGACAGTCGCAGCGGGTACTACGTAGACATATTGATGAAGCTCTTCGAAACGCAGGGACACTGATGAATCCATCTTGTTAAGCACTTGAATATGACAAGAAGCCAAGGATCGTCGCTAATCTGATCTCTTGAGCAGACTAAACACAAAGTGACGATGGTGCTAATACGGTTTCAGCATGGCAGCGATGCGGCGATCTGTGCAAACAAGGGCTGCTGGACCACACATTCAGCAGTGCTAAGCCGTCAGAGCACAAAAGAGGAATGGCCTCGATCTGCAACCAGTTCACCGTCCCCACCGTGACCAGTAATTGCTCGGTCAACATGGCAAAACGCACATTGAAACCAGCCAGTCTGCCGCTTCCAAGCGGTGCTGCCCAACAGCCGACGAGACGAGCTGGATGCAATGCGACGCAGTTACTCGCAAGGTGAGAGACAACGAACCAGTCGCCGTCAAGATGGCAAAAACAAAGCCCACAGGCTCTAGCTGGCGACGCGAAGCTATCGCGACTTTATCTGCCACAAAACTTGCAGAACTGTACATACAGTAGCGCCCAGCCAACAACGCGGTCGTTGCAGGGTCCAGGGTCTTCAAGCATTTTCCCGCATGATAGGCAACAACATCCGGAGACGGTACCCCCATAAGACCTTGTTGCAGGAACAACACGGCCTGCGTAGGAAGCGCGGTTTGCGCGTTTGTCTTCAAGAAAACAAGTCAAGAGCTGAAAGACGACCTGTTGGATGAAAACTCTGCCAGTCGTTATTCTTGCACGTCCTCATCGTTGGACGGATCAACGAAACCGCAGTAAAACTCGGATGCCGTACGACAGCGGAACATACCTAACGAGGAACACCTGCTCGGGTAGCTGACTATATCACAGCTCTCGCCTAACACCGTACCTCCTCCTCGTGACGAACTCTCGGTGCGCATGCAAATGAGTTTGTTCCGAAGACACACGCCCGTCTACCCCAGGTTTCCGAGACAGCAACCCAAGCACAAATGTAACATGGTGGACAATTGCTACGGGTCTTCGCCTTTCAGGTTAATATACCCACGCCCGACATGCCGCGTTGCGGGAACTGACAGCCACACGACAACCCGACCGAGCGGGGTGCCCTCTCGGGGTTATCCAGTTAAGTACGTATGGGATTTGCGCTGAATACGAATGATTGCCTGTCTGGAGTCTGACCTGAAGCTCGCGGTGTCTCGGAAGAGGCTGGATACCAATTGTGGACTTGACAGCACTCAGCCCTGGGTATGTATCGTGGACTCTCTTTATCTTACTTGCATTTTGGTAGCTACGTACTCGACTAATGATTACGCACAGATTCACGTCCGCTCTTGCGCAGCAGGAGATGACGGACATGCAGTAAGCCTCATGCTTGAGCAGGCAGCGGCAGTTCACTTGCCTCCCGCGTTGGCCTCAGTACTGTAATCTACCTACGGTACCGGTACTTTGCAGACCATGAGCTACAGTATACCTTGTCGAATAGCATTGCATCTAGCCCGATGCTGCAGTCGAATACTTCCAGAAGGCCATGTTCCGTGGTATTGGGTTGCCTTACCAGCACGTGGATCCAAATAATCGCCCTCCGATGACATACACTATCCTGGCTGCGTAGGTATTCCAGGAAGTTGGATAGGTGGATGGAAAAGGCCCGAGTACTATTTTTCCACGACCACGCCGCCTCAGCTTCCTACAGCCCACCGAATGGGACTGTCCGCCCGCCAGCCTAACATGCGTCGCGGGTAACACGGGGATGATCAAGTCACTTTGGCTGGCCACAACGACGCTGCGCCAAGTGAAATAACGGAGCGACGGAGCATACAGCGCAATGCCACGGTCGCCTACGACTACAACTTGAGACATTGGAGCGAACACAGGCAAGGCTACCACCACTTGTCAAAGTTCAGCAAGGGTGGGGGGAACACAATTGTGTTGCCAGTTCGTCGTATCCTAAGCAATCCATTTTCTTTGTTTTATGGCGATATGGCTATCAGACCTGGAAATAGGTGCTGTTGTGTGATGCAATACACTTTCGGGGGTTGCAAGGTCCCGGGTGTTGTGCGTCGTGGGACCTCTATGAATCCCCACGCTTTTGCCCGAGGTTCCCTCGAAGTTATCGAACATCTGGAACTGACATCATGCAGGGCCGCGCTCAGCAACAGTTTCGAGGGCGACTTCAGAAAAGATATGCTTTGGAGGGAGGAAGCCATCCTGTTTCCAGCCCCCCACTGCATCATCGTGGGCTTTGCTGTGATGCGCTACTTACTGACCATGACCATTCACGGCACTGACGGAACAACACCGTCGCTGAATGAAGTCCATGGACATATGGCTTGGAGGGGGCCAAAACACGAAAGGAGTACCCCCAAGATTACTACTTACTTAACTTTGTAGCTACATCACTGCTGCATTTAGTTGCAGATACCGACGAAACAGCACAAAAACCACATGGTCCTTCCAACCGTACCCCTCCCTCGATCTCGACGCCTATTCGCCGAGACGCCATGGGGTTAATTTTCCTGGCAGAAATAGCCCCGCAAGAAGAAACCTAACCCAGAAGAATCACACATCCGCACGTTCTCATCAACGCAAATTGCCAATTTATTTTACACTTATATTCTGAGTGTTCATCAGCATAGTCACCTTTTTCAAAGGATAGATGGAGTTTGCGGTTAGGGACGATCCGACGCAAACACGCAAGTCTAGGCAGACAAATGCGGCGGCAAAACGATGCACAAGTGGAAAGGCGACGGCGGCACCACGGATCAGTCTCCAGGATGACATACATTCAGAAGGCCGAAGCGACAACCCGGGGAACGGATCCGGTCCACCTATCCTCAATGTTGCATACCGTGTATGCTGAGCCTCATCATGCTTGACCACTGCGATGCTGCACCTGGAGATCCGTTTGAACCGGACAGTATTTCTGAAGCGAAATAGAACCGGACAATACGGAGTGCCTTCGTTGTGGCAGCCTAGGTAAGTAATGTTTTGGCCCCTCCGTGCTGAGACTGCTGAGTTGAACGGAAAGGCTGAGAAGTTGTGAGACATTGCAAACACAGAACGGTGGCTAGTCATGTACTGTGTACTTGGTTCTGTCCCCTCTGAGACGGTCATCCGTAAACGTCTCAGATCCCACCGTCCCGCGACTTGTACCTGGCCTGGCTGAGCTCAGCCACGGGGAGAGGCCAACCAAGGTACCGATATACAACAGAAAAGGTGCCAGCCCTCCGTCATGGTTCAACCTGGGAACCCGGTCTTGGTACCTTGCAGCGGTAACAAAAAGGGAACAGGCCGTGCTACGAAACGGCAAGCTCGCATGCACACACGCACGCCCCCGGGGCACCGAGTGAGCGGAACGGAAGTGCCTTTTCTACACCTTGCAAGGGTCGTAAATGTGTTCCTGCATTAGCGTTCCCTCAACCCTCCTCGTCGTGAACATGGGTAAAGTTTGGTACCCGACAAAGCACAATGACGAGCGGATCGCCGGCCGCTCACACTACACAGCACACACTCCCATTTTACGCAATCAATGTCGGGTCCGGCACGCTGACTGAGCCCCATTAGCCCAGCTGGCTGGAAGCCTTTGGAGTAGCCCTTGGATCAGGTTTTGCTTGCTCTCCTGAAACACGCACGAAGGGGGCAAATTGTGATGACGGCTGCTTGATTGATTGCTACAGCGGAAAGCGTTTTGTTTTCATGCTTGATCGTCGAAAAACTTGGCCGTCACTGTTGCCCTTTCTCATCAATCAATCACCATGCAAACTGCATCACACGTGGATGAGTCACAGACCATTATTACCCAAACACCCAACGCGATGGGTTCAGGGCCGCGACGGCTCGGGCCAGTCAAAGGCTTAGTCGGTCGCTTCACTTTTCGTTTGGAGTATTCCTTTCATGCTTTTGCATTCCCTGCACAAAACGGAGGGTTTTATCAGCCCATCTACTCCGGACCCAAAACCTAGTGATTCATTTCAAGCATAAGGTGACGAGTGAAACGAACATTGAGGCGAGTCATTTGCATTGGGTGCGCCAAGTGGCATTGGATACAGACAGACAGACAGACAAAATGTGACGAATCTCCCCGTTGGTGCTAGGGCAGCAGGGCAAATAGCGCATCGATGATCGTCACTCGGCTCCCGCGCCCCGGGCGGTTAGTTGCCAATGGGAAGTCCATCCGTGCATGACCCTGGGTGCCTGGCTCAGCTATTATGCAGTAGTGACCGCGGAGAAAAAAAACCGAAAACAAAAGAAGAAAAGAAGACAGCGGCCTGATGATCTGGGCCCCCAAGTTTTCTTTTTCCGGGGATGCATTCGCCTTGGATCATGTGACTTCTGTTGGCTTCATCACGGACTTTTCCTTTGATGATGATCTTATCGTTGTTGGTCTTGTGGTGTTGGTCATGCACTCTCCTGATAGGTCACTAAGTGTTTAGACCGTGACATGCCCCCTGAACATCACGTTGAATGTCAGCTCGAGCGGAAGTCCCTCGAGAAATAAGCTGTGACATTCATGCTGTTAAGGATCACGTATAAGCCATGTGTCTTTCAGAGGGCTGATGGGTATCGATACAGCATCAGGTTTGTCAACAAACATGAAGGCCCCGAGTACACTTGCTGGCGGTCAATGTCAACTTCAACGTTGTATTCAGAAGGAAAGGTCTGCCCTGCCTCACACCTACGGATCGTACATAAGATCGGATGAATGTGAGACGACATGATCTCCGAATCTCAGGTGTTGCCATATTCTGGGGAAGAGAGACACTCATAATCTAAAAAGAGCAGTCGAGCGGACGTAACGGCAAACCTATACAGCTGGATCAACCGGGAATTACTCTGTGCACAAATTGCCCTACCTATGCTAGGTTGAGCGTCGCAATTACGGGTTTGTATTCCCTTCGCCAGTGAGTCAAGCAGGCGATGGTGCACGACATCGGTAGGTTTTACGTCGTGTCTTCCCTCATGCGTATGTTGACCAGTCATTTTATGACCCAAGTTTGATCTTCACCACTTTGTCCAACGACAAGCGGATGGGGCTATCATCAAGAGAGAAGCTGACTGATAGTCTTCTTGAATGACTTAGGTATACGGACATAAAGAATAGAGTATCCAAGACAGCCATTCTCCAAATGAGTTGGCCCGTTGCCGAAATGGCGTGCCTTGTTTCCATCTATTCTGTCTCAGACTTGCAACGATTTGCAACGACTTACAAGTGACTGAGACAAGCATAGCCGAACCGCAGCTGTCTTCATAAATAACTGACAGATGGCCAGAACGCCGCATCACCCAACTGCTTCAAGCCCCCTCCCCTGTTATTAGCGACGGCAGAAGTAGGAACCGGCGAGACCCCCACGAACCATCAGGTATCAGACACCTCCAGCCGCCAGCCGCCAGCCGCCAGTCACGTCAGTCGTCATGTTAATACGGACTGACTTAGTGACTGACTGACACTTATTAGTTGTCTCTGTGCACCCGCACTCGCCTCACGGGAAAGGCTAACTGACATGATCATGACAGGTGGGTGTGAACTAGGATAAGGAATGGCTGAATCAAAGCCGTTCACCTGCCCTACGTAAACAGATTGTTATGGACTCATGGTAATGGCGGACTTCCACGCCCACACCCACGCAACTCAAATATACCACGCACCATTCATGTCTGATCGGGACGTTCGTTAACACCACTTCATTGACTTACTTACTCAAGTCAGTCAATACCATCGGCCGGCAGTTTGAACAGCTACTATATTCAATTGACATTGAGAGTAACAGAGATCCGTCCGATCAAGCCACCGACGTTTGACTTCAACTTTCACGAGACATTACATATGTTTGAGTCCACGCACGACTCGCGACAGCCAATATGACGGGCTTTGAGAGTTGAAAGGCGACCTACCTAGACCATTGCCGACGTGGCGCACCTCAACTTGACAACGGCCGATAATGCAGTAAGTTGGTGGGATGATTATGTATTTACATGGATGGTAGACGAGACACGGTGCGTGGGAAAAGGACCATACATGCAAGTCGGTTAATTACCTCTATCTCTACTGTTTTCACTTTGAAATACCACACCAAACAACAGACGTTCCCAAATGGTGAACAGTGCGCGTGGTGGCGCTTTAACCGTTGATCGTTTAGAAAGATGAAGCATAGTATGGCATTGCATGGCGTTGCATGGCTATTGGCGATCGTGGTGGCTTGCTGGGAAGGACGAGGCTTGTCAATCACACAGCATTGAAACATTTGCGGCGTCGCCGCCGTACGTGCGTGGCGAATGTCACCTAACCTGTCAACTCAATGGCAACTGGCGTTGATATTGATTGTGTTTGCTTAATGGCCCCCAAGTGACAGATGAAATCAAGTCAACAAACGAGAGGATTGAGTATTGGGGGCGGCCTGAAAGAGAAAGAGGAAAAAGCAAGGACAGAAAGTGAGATGGAAGGGGGATGGAAGCAATCCATCAACACGCCTGATTTTCGTTGTCAATCTTACCATCGATCCTTAAGATGGAACAAAAGTTGATCATCAACACAAAGGTAATGATACAACTCAAGGCATGAAAGAAGCTATGCTGTTTAGTCAGGTCTCTAGGTAGTTATTCCCCTGTCACGGTTAACCATGTGAAAATGACAGTGATCACAACTACCATTGCCAGCATCTTGCAATATCAACACCAACAAAAAAAAAAAACAAGACAACATAATCAAATCCGAAAGACGCAAGAAGGCAGGTACCATCTACTTTCATGTTACAACCGATCAAAACGTTACAACTAACGGATTCCACCACCAACAGGGTGGTTTCAAGTTATACTTAACAATCATCAAACACGGTGCAAACGTTTTACATGTATCAATATACATACATGTATATTGATTGAAACCATTCCCCCAACGGAACATTTGACGGGGGAGAGTCCGTCACCAAACCCTGTCCCCATTTATCCCACCACGCATTTGGGGGCATGTTTTCATATTCCTGACTTGTCAGAAACGGATCAAGGGTTTGTGATAGCTCAGCGTGGTGGGTGGCGTGGAAGTGGAAGTGGGAAGTGGATTAATGACAGTTTCTCCGGGGTCCTGCATTTGCTCCACTCCTTCTCCCGCACCGTTTCTGTCCTTCCAGAAGGCTTTCCCCATCCCCTTCGGACCCGGTCGTTACCGTCCTGGACTACCCTTCCGGTGGATGCGATTCGATGCCCTGTCCGGTCCCCATCAAAAGGATCCTAGTTTTGACGTCAAACTGCGTCTGAAGCTGGCTTTGGCTGGCTTTACATCGGAGGTCCAGGATTCAGTGGGTAATCGGGGGTTAGTCCGGGATCACCGAGCGGGCTTGCTTCAGGCAGTACAGGGCAAGCTTGGGGGCAAGTCCCCATAGGGTTGAAGCACCGGGGTTGAGGATTACCGGCGCCGGAACGGCAAGGGGATAAGGCCCGGGGAAGACAACTGGGGCGTGTTGCATGTTGCGTGAGCCTGGTGAGGCCGGGTGAGGTAATGCCGGTCCCACTTGTCGGACTTACCAGGCAATGGGAGGGAGGCTCGGAACCGGGGCCGGAACATGGGTAAAGTCACGGCGATTTCCTTGTGAATGGATAACATGAGGAAAACAGTACCTGGTGGCCGAATCATGACCGTTTCGCATGTTGACAATAAAAGACTGGCTGGCTGATGTTGATTAGCAAGCACGTTCGGCATGTCCCGACTTCGCGTCGGTTCAGTCTGTCCCTGGTCTTCGCTTCTCAAAAATAAAAACGAAATCTCGTCTTTTCGCCATGAGCTTTCCGACATTGCATGACATTGGGCTTTGGATATCTCACGACATCATGTTCGGTTCAAAATGGAACAATCGAGACCCAAACACCCAGGGCCGGCCGAGGGAGGGGTGACTGCCGCAAACTAATCCCTACGAAACCACACTAGAATAGCCCATGGCAGGGAAAAGAAGAGGGTGTCAATTTGAAAACGTCCTTTTGTTATCAACCTTGCAAAACGGAGCGTGGAGTGTTCCAATTTAAGCAATGAACCCAAAAGGGGAAAGAGGCTAGAATCACGAAGAAGCCAAAGAAGCAAAAGGAGGGTAAGAAGGAAAGTGGAAGCGCAATCGAAGCTGAGAATTAAAAAAAAAAAACCGGGGCCGGCCTTTCCTCCATCCTTGTTCATATTTGCCGGGGAACCAGGTGCCCAAACATGCCCACGGACTCAACCCCCGGTCCAATCTCGCACACGGAGGGAACGGCGATGCCATGCCATGCCACGCCATGCTATGCTATGCTATGCTATGCGATTCCATGCCGGCAAACAGAAGCGACCGACAACAATATGACTGGTCAGTGCCCCCGGGAGGGGAAATGACAAGCGAGGAGGCACAGAACTGGCAGCGGGATTCTTTGCTTCTTTGAACCTGACTCCTTCCAGAAGTTTTCCAAAGTTCCAGTCTCTCAGTCAAGGTTCCTGGGAGACTCCGTTTGGGACATCTCGTCTGCTGGGACGTCCTCGTGGCCGGTGGAGTTGCGCGCTAGCACGCCTAGCGACGCTACTGCAGGTACCGACTGATCACTAGCCCTGATGAGGCAGAGATGGGGGGGGGGGGGGGGGGGGG